CTGGTATCTTCTATTTAGTTACACGGCTGCAATTTTTGTTTCGTGTATGGAGTAGAAGGGGGAAGAAAGAGGAGGGAGTGAAAACATGGCCGGAATACGCGGAAATAAGAAGTCGTCGAGAGAGATGCACATCGCTGGATGACAAGAACGATCTTCCCGTAATTCGGTAGAATTCTACGGAAGTATTCGTTTATCGTCATGAAGGTTAAACGGACGCCTGCCACGATAAAGAAGACACCGCCACGATCACAAGCAATCCCGCGCGGACGTAACGCGAAGGCGCAGCGATTTCGACAGTGATTTCTACGATGACCGATTTGCTCGTTTTTCCTCTTACTTCCGCCCTCCGTCCACCTCCTCCTTTGGGTTAGCGTCTCTCCTCTCTGGAGTTGAAATATACAAAATGAAATATGAAATAATAGTTTGTGCCTTGTGGCTGGCTGAAGGCACGGGCGCACCCATATCTACGCCCCCATGCCTATATACCTATATAGGCCCTGCGTATATACACGTATATATGTGCATATATATGTGCACGTACACACACACACACACACACATATATATATATGTATATATATAATATATATCGGCGTGGTCGCGTGATATATATGTGCGCTGTACGCCATATATATATATATCTGCCTTACGCACAATTTTTTCCTTTTTGTCGCAAACATCTTATGTTCGTATTAACCCTTATGCCTTGTTTAATGATATTCCAGCCTACCATGTTGGCATATTGAACGCAACTGAGGCAGATTCCAGCCGGTCGTCAGACTCGGCCGACCAAGCCCACCTATAGTACGAATATCCCCGCGTACATCGTGTATATATACCAGCAGAAGAGCAAGAGCAAGAGAGAGAGAGAGAGAGAGAGATTTTCGTGCTCGTTTTGCGCTACGTATCGCGTTTGTTGCCGCGATATTAGGACTGTGCTCGCGATCCGAATTAAGCGCATCATTAACCAAAGGAATCGACTGATGATTTTATCGAATTTCGTGATGTCGAGTTATATACGAGGTAACATTACGTCATTGTCGGGAAGACGCGTAATTTACCGGGTTTATTCGCAAACGCGATCTTGTGGATCTCGTGGGTCTCTTGTGTTAAAAACGCTCGCGTTATCAAGGATGTCGCCTCTCGTTGTTCGCCTCGATGTTTTCGAACAATTCCGCGGAGGATAATCGATGAAATAGATGATCGAGAACGGAAAGGAATAGACAACATTGAAGTTACTCGTCGATCGACTTATTTTTTTTCTTTTCTGGTCAATTTCGTTTGTGGCGTAGTCCCGCAGAGAAAATTTCTTCGTTATTTAGGATGATCAAACTCAAATTAAACTAATCGATAAATGATAATAAAAATTGCCAACACTAATCTCCAGTTCTATAATCTGTCGTTCAACAATAAATTACTTATTTTTATCTACGTTCACAAGATAGAGCAAGTAATATTTCAGAGTAACAGCAACGGTGGTAATAATCTGTCTGAAGACAATATAAAAACAAAAACAGCAGTAGAGAAACTGGTTCTTCAGATTGTTCAGCTCTTCGACATATCTAGTATCTTTGAGGGTGTACGTCAACAATTCATTTAATTGTTTCATTTCTAATTTTGGATGTTTTGCTTATTGTATGTTTGAAATATCATCCCTGATGTGTTATAAGCTTACACCAAGATTCAATAAAATCCTAAAATCTGTGTGACATTTACATTTTCCTGAAAACATGAATATTTTTACTTGAAATAAACCAAAGTCGCTCCCCTGAGTATGACTGGATACTTAAGGAATACTATATATATTGTTTTGCATAATTAACTTCTAACTTTACGTAAAAATTTAATGTTTGCTATAAAAAATAATTAAATATTCTTAAAATTAATTAAGTTGTCTTCAATTATGAGTATAAATTGATTAATTTCTTTCATTAAAAAATATTATTAATTTGGATGAAGTAATTAATTTTTTCTACACTTAATAATAGTCTTTATTTATAGTATTTGATTGATATCAATGTGATATGACTAAGATTGCTATAATATTTTTTTTATAGTGCCTTTATATCTTGGATCATTATACTTACTTAATAATCCTTGCGCACTAACTAATATCATTTTACATTATATCCTTTGTATCTTGACTGTTCATGCGGCGCAAAGGAAGTTCCGGGAGAACAACGGTAAGAATCCCCCGCTACATATTTCCACGTGTCGTTTCAATCGCTTCACACGCACGTCATCGTATAACCATCCATAATACATTGCAAATCTAAATGTGTTATTGTTACATAACTGTTGCGGATCGAGCGAGCCGCAGCGAAGCTCCTCGAGCGCCGGGTTGCCGCACGCCGGGCGCGGCTGTCTCGAGGCAGTTTCGGATCTGCGCCGTGACGTCTCCCGAGCGGGTTCATCCGCGAGCAAGTCCGGCGGCTATAGGAGGCCGCTTTCGTTTTCCACTGCACTTCGGTTGACCGAGCGGTGATTAATTCGGGGTCGAGCTTCGCTCGACATTGCCGATCATCTGCAGTAGATGACATCGTAATCGGGAACGACAGGAGAAGGCGTCGTCTCCCCGCGCGAACTCGAAGTTATCATTAAGAGACGCGCAGCGTCGAAGTTCACGGGACTCGGAGCATCGAGTCGGCTCCGACATAAAACTCTATATTTATAAACAACTTATTTGTGTATGTGCTTTTTGTATGATATAATAATAAAATAAAAATAATATAAAGGAGAAAAGTAATAACGAAAAGAAAGAACAGTAAAACATATGTCAGTCTCGAACCTAAGCTGTCTAGTTAACAGTCAGAATTGTTTATGTTAAGACGAGAAAATAATTTTTGCGATGTGTGTAAAAAGTACGTATTTAACTACGTAATATAACACAGACAAAGCATAAAGGCAAAGTAATAATACGCGTCAAAAGTGACAGCACGACTTTAAACACGTAAAAATTACACCCGTGGATTTGCAGTGTGTCTACCGAAGCTAAATCCTTTTTCTTCTCCCTGCTTTCTTGTTTTCTCATACGTGCGCTTTATATTTCACCGGGCTTCTTCAGGAAAGAAGTGGCGAGGGCTGACGCCGCAAGACAGAAGGCCCTACGTCGAGGAGGCCGAGAGGCTCAGGGTCATACACATGCAGGAACATCCCAACTACAAATACAGACCGCGGCGTAGGAAGCACGCGAAACGGACACCCGGTGCACCGTCCTCCCCTCCCTCCACGACCAACACCGCGGGCAGCAGGTCCAACCCCGCGGGTCCAACGATTCATCATTCCATGTAAGCCGATACTGGCCCATACAGGCTGCGCGGCTAATGAAGGCACGTGCATGCGAGAGAGACGAGTAACCCCGAGTTAATTGAGAGATCTTGGCGAGATTTAAACGTTTAAATGCCGACGATGATGATTCTGATTTCGATGTTGAACGTTAACGTTGCGTGTCTCAGATTAGATTGGACGTTGAAGTGTGGACGCTGAAGGAGGCGGTCTCACCGTTCAAAAGTGCTTTGTGATGATCAATTTCCCGACCGATTCGAATTTGCAATTTTCTTTCCTTTACGCAGAAAAGATTTTTTTCTTTTTTTTTTTATAATTTTCGAGTTATGAGTAATTAGTAAAAAGTAATGAATTCCTTGCATCTCGCTATTCCAATTTCGAAACGCGCATTGATGCGCTTGTCTATATCACGTTTGGGGAAAGTGTATTGAAGTGAACGGAGACTGTTTATTTTTCGAATGTTTTTCCTTTGTTTGTTTCCCGGTTGATTCGAAGCATACTTGCGTAGAATTCCAATTTGAGACTTTGAGTCATGTAAATCATGTGGTGATGAAAATTGATAGGTCGCATCGTTAAAAAAACTATGATCGCGAGTCGCGCTCAGGAGGATACGTGACGCGTTGTCGGCAGTGTTGCAATGTAATTAAGCGATAACATCGCACGCTATTATATAAGTATTAAATGTATGCATGCGTGTATTCAAGGTCCAAGATGGACAGTTACCAGGGCATACCTCAAATCCCGTGGGGTGGCCATTCCCCGATCTCATCCCTATATCATCAACAGCAGCAGCAGCAGCAGGGTATCCAGGAGTATAAATCGGAAAATAATTCGCTCTACGGCAGCCCTTATACTCCTATTATCCACACTCCGGACATATCTCCGGTGGCCAGTCCCGAGCCTGACGGTAAATCATTGAAAAACTGACAATCGAACAGTTAAACGAGAAGAAATGAATAATTTTTCAATTGTAACGTGCGCTTCAAAATTCCCGCGTGAATTAACCCTTTTTGTACGAGTATTGATGAGTTAGCACTATGCCGTGAGTTTTGATCGAGTCGAAAAATATATATGACTTAATGATAATATGAGAATTAGCTAATAAGTGGCCAATTGGTTAAAAGTCAGAAAGTTGATGACTTTTAACTCGATCAATTTTAACTAAGTGAATTTTTAACTTAAACTGTTACTTATTTTAAATGCGTTAAATTTAACTTACGTCGTTCCCCATAGACGGTATATATTTCTAAAAGGTATCTTAAAGACGTCCGAAAGATGTCATATATTTTTTTAGAAATTGATGCCGTTTGAATTATTTTACATTCGATAGAAATATTAAATAATTGGGTGGAAAGTAATTGCATAATTATTAAATCAACGATCTAATTTATATTGATCAGGCGACGGCGGTCATCTACCGTCCACCCAAAATCCAGATCCGGAACGAGACATGATGGAAGGCACGTCGAAACAACACGGGGATATGACGGAACAAACGAAGCGATACACATTCATAAGCAACGACAGTCAATTGCACACGGGTCATACTGGTAACACTAGTATATCATCGTGTCAGAATTCCAGCGGTTATACGGACACTTTAACGTATAAAAAATCCGTATGTATATACCAACGATATATAACGTTGTAACGTTTTGTAACGTCACGAAAAGTTTTTTTTTTTTCTATTGTGCTGAATTATTTTACTACAAGCTAGTATCGAACGTTGATATCCTGTCCGCTCAGGTGGGTTACTTGAACTTTGAGAGACAGTCGACGAGTATAGCCGCGGTGGGTATAGCAAACGGTATGATGGTGTCGTGCAATAAGCTGCGCTCCGGTTTCGACAACGTCGGCTCCGTCACGGGCACGTTTTATCCGCCGGTGGCTTCGCCGCACGATCAATCGTTGCAGCATTACAGCGGCACGCAATCCTCCAAGAGCGTGAGCTATTCGATGCAGTCTAACGTCGAGAGCAATTATACCCCGATCCAGTGTGGCAATCGACAACAATCCATAGGAATCCGCGGGCCTACCGAAAGCTGTTCCGGTAACCGTTCCTTCTAGCTTATGCAGAAAATACTGCCCATTGTTACCTATTGAAAGAATCCGTTGAAAAACATAATTCATTATGATTATCGCTACTTGGAAAATAACAAGTAATAAGTTATTATTATTTCCATTATTTTTTTCATCCAGTTTTAAAGACTTTTTTTGGGATTCTTCCCGTTCTATATATATATTGTGTGCAAAGTAACGATAAACGTGCAAGGTGACGATTGCATTCATCATCATTACTCAAAAAATATGATCACATTACCGTGAATAATAAAAAAGATCTAGCGCAGCAACATTGCTGTCAAGATTTGTTCCAATTAAACACGCCGTTGGGAATTCTATTGATTCATCGGCATTTTTCTTTTTTTATGTAAAATGCTCCAAACCACCGACCGGTATGTTATATTCGAAAGACGCCGTGATCATCGTACCACCGTCAATCGGAGATTTCTTTTACAGGTGTGACGCACAGATATCAAATGCTCCATCATCAGGAGTACCAAACAGATACGTCCAGTGGTGCTCAGCAGCAGCAACAACAACAGCAACAGCAGCAGCATGCGATCCTCGGCCATATCGATTCCGGCCTGACCGGGCCGGAAGACGATCAGCAGCAGGCCCTGCAGCTGGAAAAGTATTTCAAATATTCCCACCCGACGAGCGTGGCGCACTCGAGCCTGTCTTCGCAGAGTATGCTGGACAGCAATCACAATTACGCCAGCGATTTGCGCTACTATGGGGCCCCGCAGCAGCAGTCACAGTTGGATATGTCGAATTCCCAGTGCATCGTCGACGATCAAGGCAAGGACACACGCTGTGCCAATGTCGGCCTCAGTCACACTATGGAATCACAGTATCACCAGAGCTTAGACGTGTCGAAGTACCCGGAGCACTCGGCCTCGCATCAGCCGCAGCAGCAGACACAGAACATGGAGCACATGCCCAAGGCCGACGACGATTTTAGTGTTATACTCGCGGACGTGCGCAAGACCTGCTACAGCAGCTAGTGTCTCTTCCTGTAGTGCACGAACGGACGGATTTGGTCGGGATGACTGACAGTGGCGGTGTTCGAATATATTGAGAACTCGTCGTCGTCATCGTCGTCTCCCGAGTGGAAGGAGGGGAAATACGTTTTCTTACGTTATCGTGGTTGTCGTCGTGGTGCCACCCTTCCACCTCCTCCAAAATAGTCAAAGTGCCTTTGTTTCTCGATAAGAAAAGAAGGTACGTCCGATCCTCGTTAACGCTCAGAATTCTGACTTGGGATCTTTTTCGGAACAAACGAACGAGTAAGCGCTGTTCGCCGCGCGACTCGATACATTCATCACGGCAAGAAAGCGTCGTTCAGTCCTATCTTCGTCGGGACACATATTTATGCGATGTTATACTCTATATTCGAGTATCTTGTGTGTACGATGGAAGCACGATCTCTTATAAATTTCAGGATACGATCCACTTCATGTGGCAAATACTTCGGGAAGCGCTGTTTAAATCAATCGTGCTTGCTTTGAGCGCTTCACAGTGTTTGCAATTTCGAGTGAATCATACCCTCGATTCAACTGGAATTATATTAAATGAGAGCCGGTCGACCCGAGGCTACAGCGGGAAAAGAATTAGAAGGGTGCGCCGTTAGAAAATGAGGAGGTTTTATCGGAAAAGCCAGTTTATCAGAGCCAATATTAAAAATGCAAAGAAATGTTTTAATATTCAACTTAAGGGATCCTTCCTAAATCCTCTTGCTCCGATGTAGCCGCCCTGCGCCTCGATCACCGCCACGATCCTGGGTCCTAAAACGCGAGCACGCCGTCTTCAACTAAGCCCGGAGGGATGCTTGGACTTCTTGGTACCTCTTTCAACTACGCTTCCACATGTAGTAGTCGGAAAAGTTGAGGTCGAGACTATTGGGAGGACAGAAGTCTTTGGATCAGAACATGTCGACGTTCGGTCGGAGAGCCAATTCTGTACCAAATGACTCGTGTGCGCCGTCTTGCCGGAAGATACACGGCCTTTATCCACAAGGCTGTGTTTCGGTATTCGTTGTAAGTACTGACGATATGACGTCATTAAGTAGAGCTGCAAGATCGTTTCGTAATTACTGCTGTCGCTTTTACAACGCGTAGCGTTACAATAACGGAACGATGTCCGCAATATTATGACTGTAAACATAACTTATCTTATTCTTGTTTCTTAGAGTGACTTAGGGAGACTGAACTCTAAACCTGTAATATTGAAATAAATCAGAAAATCATGATGGTATCAGAATTCGCGAGGTGCTTAATGGAATCCTCAGACTCGGTGACTCATGAGTAGTGTTTTTACACTTATGAAAATGTCGAAATTATTTATTATTACATCAGTAGCATCACCTCGTCGTGCTTTTTCTGCATCTCCGTCCTATGACTGACAAATGTTCTATTTTGAGTGCCGTCATATTTTTACTATGACTCATCTTGCAAACCGCAGTGGTTGAAGTAGGGAATGACGACGAAATTTATGACGTCATATGAATACGAAAATGCTTAGGAAGCTTACTGTCAGGTATATTAGAATGAACTTATAATACTGCAAGTACTTCCAATAAATACCGAAATGCAGCCTCAGACTTTATCACCGTTCTCAGGATCTCCAAATAGACCTCCTTCACGTGACTATTTGCCCCTTCTGGAAGAAGTGCGGTGACATAACGGCAGTTACAGAGTCCTTGTCACCTTCTCTCTCACTTGGATCTTTCTCGCCGGGGTAGAAGAGTCCTCCTCGGATCTCGGACTTAACTTGATCAACTCGGCCATCAAAGTTACGAATATCTTACTTACGTATTTAGTCTGCTTTGGCCACGTGGTACCTACAGATAGAATTCTAATACAGTGGGATTCAAATTCAGTTTTGTCCGAATTCTAACGGCGCATCCTGTACAGTGAATGGAAAGTTTATCACGTTGTCGCAAGATATTACAGTACGCTTACTACGACTAATGCCTGTTTATACTATTATGATTTAAATCTAATCGACGATTAACTCAAAAAGAATTGACCAGTCGCATTAGCCAATTGGCCGAACCGATCAGCGCGATTGGTTAATTCCGTTAAGTTAATCATCGATTAAATTTAAACCATGATAGTGAAAACGGGCATGAGCCGCCTAATGTAAATATCGGCCGAGAATATTGCTGTTTGGATTTCGTTATATATAGGAGAAATTCTGCTCTATCTCGAAGTCTTCCTACAACAAAATACTTTGCCAAATAAATGTCATAAGTGCAATGTTTTTGAACCTTTTAACTACAAAGGATATATATATATATATATGTATATATGTATATATATATATGTGTATATATATATATAT